GTTTTGCTCATTTGTTTATTATTACTGTTTTAATAGTTTTGGCTTTGAGATATTATTTTTGTGACTATATATATTTTTACTACTACTGTTGGTTTTAGCTTTTAGCTACTATCTTACTAATTTTAGCTTGTAATTGCTGGTTTTATATTTTCCTTGGTGGTAAGACGATTTTCGCATTTTATTTAGCAAATTTTAGCTTTTCTTTTTATGCAAAGTTAATGCATACGTTCAGCGGTTTTTAATATTTCTTATTTTTTTCCACAATTTTCAGCAAAGTCATTCAGCACGCAGCACTCACCCAGAATTTTATTCTAAAATTCAAAATTTCTTAGTTGTAATCATTATCTATTCTTTTTAAAGATCTTGTTTTTGCAGATTGCGACTTCCGTTTTGTGATCAACGTCCGCTATTTTATTTTGAAAAGGACCGGAAACTGTGCTGTCTCTTACTAGAAGAGTTAGCCGGTGATCTTGATAGGTTTTGAGTCAGAGACGCTGCTTTTTGTCGGCTCTGACTCTCGGGGACAGATTTTAACTCGGGTTTGACGACTTATCTAGCATAAATGCCGACATTTCCACGCGAGGCTCGGGGTTTCGTTGCCGTTTGTGTTCATTGGTGAGTTTTTGTGTTTGTTTGATAAACTCTTTCCAAATGAAATGGCAGCCGTACCGTTACACACCCGGCTACTTAACTTAACTCTTTCATGCATCTACTTGCTCTGASTCTTTCACAAGTTTTCTCACAGGTGTGACTGTTAGTTGTGATTAACGACGAATGAATAGCAAAGACAATGTTTACAGCAACAAAAACATCAGACTGTGTTTAGATATAGTTATACCCACTCTGTTTGCCTTTTGCTTCCTGCTTTTCGAAGCTTCCTCTTGAGTCAAAAGAATCAGAGGGGAAACTCCACTGAACTTCTTAACATTTATTTTTGTACAGGCGGAGCTGTTATTATTGACACAGGAAGTTGTTATATTTTAACAAAACTATATCCAGATGTTCAGTATCTCTACAAAACTGTTATTACTTCAAACAGAGAGCATCAAATATCAGTTTATGACTGTTTTGTTAAAATATGAATTTAAGAATATTTACCTGATGTATTAATTTTACTGAACAGGAATGAATGAGCTTTATTGTGGGTGATTTTTAAGCTTCTTATTTCAACAGAACGTTTTAAGGAAATGAAACAATGTTGGCAAAATTGTTTCCTGGAGAGTGATTAATCATTCAGACAACGTGGTTTTGTGGGGGGAAACGTGTATTGTATAAAACCGTCAGCTCTTTGGTATATTCAGAAAACATCATTGTTTAAAAAGGTAATTAAATCACGTTGAATAGAACAGAATAGAATAAAAACAGCTTTTATTGTCCCGCAAGGGGAAATTCCGGTGTAGTAGCAGCAGCAGCTGCAGCAGATACATCAATCCACAAAATGGTATGTTGCCATGTGACAATATCAATAGTAGCAACAATAATACAATTAAAAATTAAAGATTGTAACAATCAAAATAAACATTAATCAAAGTCAAAATAAGAGTGATAATTACAGTACCGGTAATACCGGTCCATCAAGTTAGATAAAAATGAAAGTCCAAAACAAGGGACTGTGCAGAAAGATACATAATTACAGGAAATAACTGTCATG